CATCGTCACGTTGAACTGAATTCGGGCTGAGTGATTGAGTTGTTTGTGCTCAAATGGTTGGCATCGTGCAATCGGAAAGCAGCATTCTGGATTCAGGGTGCAAGTTTGCCAATCATTGTGGCCACAGCCAGGCAATGCCCTGCCCTGAATCAACTCTGTTTGGGTTCAACTTATGCAGCGCAAATTTCGAATCAATAACGAAATTGAAATAGATTTGGTAAAGCGCATCTGAAAAGCTTTTGTAAAGAGTTGTGGCATTGCGGACGTTGGCTTCGCAAACCAATATTAATTTAATTAATTCTTTAATAGAAATTGAAATACGAAAAATTATATGAAAATGAAGGGCCCTTACTACATATATAATTGTTTAGTATGGTAATATTGCAGTATTGAGTTTCTTTAATTTCTGTGATTTCAATCAGACTTGAACTAGAAAACCTTTAAACTCAGATCACTTTGATTAATTTCCTGATTGATTCCAACTGAAATCACTGACTCATTGTATCATGAATTCCTTGCAATATTCCTCTTCAATGATTTTAACTAAACTGACTGAGCTATCGAATATTTGACTTCCCTTCAATGGGTATACCTAATATATTTTCAAAATTTGTTACTTTCTTCGACAGGTTGAGGAGGACTGGAAATATGTGGCCATGGTATTGGATCGTATGTTTCTGTGGATTTTCGCAATCGCTTGCGTTGTCGGCACAGCGCTAATTATATTGCAAGCGCCAAGTTTGTACGATCAATCGCAGCCGATTGATATACTATATTCGAAAATAGCCAAGAAGAAGTTCGAGCTGCTCAAAATGGGCAGTGACAACTCCTTATAGCGACCACTTGGGTTCGCAGCGGGCTGGTGGAATTTAATCGTCAGCTCGTTGCGAACCCTGTTCGCCGCTCGCGACGATGATCGTGGATAATATACAATGAGCCAAACCATGAGCGTCTCATCGGTGTTGTACAACACTAACAGCAGCAACCACAGCAGTATCAGCAGCAATAGTGTTCTTGCCATTGCCAACAGCGATACCGATAACGATAGCGCAACGATAACCAGCTCATGGAGCCCATTGTAAGCAGCGGAGCGAAGCGAACATTGGAAATTGAAGAAAAATAAAACTAAATTATATAAATAAAACCAAAAACAATCGAAMGATTGCGATTGCGATTGCGAGTTTACGAGCAGTTGATCAAAACATGTATGTAAAGTAAAGGAAAACAAGTATTGTAGTGTTGCGTAACGTTAATCACATCAATAACTGTGTTGCAAGATCGACTTTGACATACACATGTAAATGACACTGACACGACAGCCCTCCATGGCTGGCAAAGCTAAGGGCTTAGCTATTAAGTTTTTGATGGATGTGTGCGTGAAGGATCATATTTTATGTATGAACCTATGTCAGTGTTGGATGGTTGTGCAGTGTTGCGTCATGTAGCAGCCAGTATTGTAAAAAAACAAAACAAAAACTAAAAACAAAAACAAAAATAAAGTAAACGTTTTGTAATTTGTATTGTATTTTTGAGCGCCAAAAAGTTCCTTGTTGATTTTTAGTTCTAAAGTTTCACAAAATAGAACAACAACAACAACAAAACACACATAACAAAATGTTTTAAAACGGCATTTTAAATTCAAGCAAAAACAAAAAGTATAACAAAGTAATAAAAGAAAACAAACAAAAAAAAAATAAAAAAAAAAAAAAAAAAAAAAAAAAAAAAATAAAATTGACTGCATGTGTTCAGTGTGTTTGTATGCGTGTGTTTGAAAGTGTTATCGTAATCAATTTTAATTATTTATCTATTTGTGCATATTTTTCGCGTAATTTTTACCAAAATACGAATAAAACTTAGCCAATGCGAGTTGGCAAAATGCATCAAGTTTGAAACTGGTTTTAGCGTAAGTAATACCTAACTCATAAGTGACTAAATTATGTAATGATGTAAACATAATTAGCAACTAAGTCTTAATTAGTCTTAGCTAAGCTACGTAAGTTTTAAGCCAACCAAAAATAATATTAACAAAACCAAACCAAAAAGTTCAGCCACCCGGCGACTTGGTCAAATGAAGCGCGAAATTCTGAAATAAATTTAGTTACAAATGTTGAATAAGACAACATCCAATTTTTAAACTAACACATTTTTACTACAAGAGATACACACACACACACTCACACACAAACACGTACACACAGATGTATGTACAACCATACGTATGTACATTGTAAGTATATATAACAAGCATATGTATGGGACATATACATATATACATATATACGAAAACATAGTTTAAACTCACAACAAATTTAAGACAATTCAAATTCAATAACTAAAGTTAATTGCAACGGGAAAACAACTTAAATACAAACTAATGAATAAATGAAACCCCAAATCAAATCTGCAAGAAAATACGACACTATATTGACACTTTGTTAGAGCAATTTACGCTATTCGTTTGTGTAGTTATTGAAAACATGCTGCTGCTGTATGTGAAATATGGAATGCATTGACTAAGTTAGTCATTTTCTCTATATAGTTCATGGCATCCTCTTACAGGTTGCACATTTGCTTGCATTCAATTTTACAGATGCTTTGCATCTTAAATATTGGGAGATTCAATTTAAAAACTTTTTAATTGCCTGCAGCTGAAGTGCTGGCGGGATCTGTGTGGAGCTGGAGAGCTGGAGAGCTGGGCACTGGCAAAGCCTTGGCAGAATGCAATACACAAAGAAACACCTTCAATTGAAATGCCAGAGCAAACGAAACTTGCCGCAAGGTTTCTTTTATTTGCATTTTTAATTGATTTTTCAAAAGTTTTTCCCACTACATCAACAGCAGCAACAGCAGCCACGGCAGCAACAACAGGCAAAATATTAACAACGCAAATGCCATTGGGCGTTGGCAAGTTCCGCAGGGTATGCAACAAATTAAGTGAGGAATGCAATACGCATGAGTGTGGGTGTGGGTGTGGGTGTTTGAAAGTTAACAAAAAATTCGAAAAGTACACCAAAAATTTGCATAACTTGCATGCAAACGAATGAGGCAAAAACCATAAATGAAAACTGCTGAAACTATTAGCAAGGAATGCCGCGACTACTCAACTGCAGCGCAGGATTGTCAGGCTCTTTGGCTGTTTATAATTGTTATATTCGTTTTGCTGTTGTTCCTGCTGACGTTGACTTAACACTGGTTGGGGATTTTGTGCGTGCAGAAGGGGGCAAAAGTTTAATTAAAATTCCACTTCGAAAATATTCAACATTTGTGAATGTGTATTAATTAAAATAGTTTTCCAAGCCAACAAATGTGTCAGTACGACAACAAAGCGCGCACAAATGAACACAAATTCGTACTTAAATATGTCTACACATATACAAACAGCTATTTATGTACGTATATATCTATTTGTTATAGTATGCAAAGATTTTGCACAATTATTTGTCATTGCAGCCGTAATTGGCAACGTGTTGAGAGACTATTAGAGAGCTGTTGGCATTGAAGTGTTTAAGTGTTTGCAGACATTTTCATTCCAAGCTGAAACAATAAATTATTAATATTAAACTGAATTGAATGGCCTATGAAATGAAGAGCTGGTCTAAAGGGATTTGGCTAAGATGCAGGCAGATACATAAGCGAATAGCGTAGCACCCAGTAGGCATGTAAAACAAATATGAAAACACAGTTAACGAACACACATACACATGTAAAACGTAATTTAAATAAATTAAAATTTAAATAGCTGCACCATTTTGGTGTATTAAAATGTAAAGTGCATAAAAATCAACAGTTAACATTTTTTAAATATTTAGCTATTAACTAAACGTAAATAAATGTTATTTAAATAAAAAATATCATAAATAAATT